ATCGTATTTTAATCCAGGCATACTTACTGTTGAAACACAGTGTAGGTAGTACATTAATCGTGCTTTTGGGACGTCAGGTACGTTCACCCGCCTGGTTGTATCTTTTACACCAATCTCACGTCCTCGAAATGCCAATGCCATTTTAAAAGCAGCGAAGATCTTAATATAACCCTTCCTCGATGAAAAATAAGGGAAAATGAAACTAAAAAGCTTGCGGGTGGTTTTGTATGGTCCCTGAAGGGGGAACACACATGCAAATAAACTCCTTACAGGGTGTAGAGAGAGTCGGGATTAAGCACATATTCAAAGATCTCGCAAATCGTCTCGGATTTAATCACACAAATCTTACTCATACCAAAATTCATATTTGGTGTAGGTAAGCAAGTCTTAATCCTCGACACTTACGTACGTTGTTCTCCATTCCATGATTCAAAGTTGTTCTTACGCTGTCCACAGAATGCTATGAATTAAAAACAATAGATAATTTTATGGTGTATTCAAAACTTGGATATGAAAACACAACAATGTTTAAACCCTAATAAATTGCGCACCCAGGAAAGTATAATTTCCTCAGTTGTCTCAGAAATGAAAGAGATTGGGGTGGGGATTTAGGTGACTGTACATTTTGTTGCAACATTGCTTCGCTAATTAAAGTATTTTAAGTTCTGGAAACAGTAGCCTGTGTCGCCGTCGGTCAAAGTGTAATAGTTCTATCTTTTTGTTCGGTTCATGTTTATGCAAACTTCTCCAGGGTGAAGATATAGTGAAGACAATCAATTTTTGGTGCAATGAAGCAACAATTCAATGATGCCATCTTGTTGAATCACTCAAAAGTACTGTTGCAATATAAAGTCAGCTCTCCAGTTAATCCGTTTTCATGCGAGCGTACACAAGCACGGAAATGTTTAAATCCGCTTTAAAATTACTTATGAGATAGTAAAACGGAATAAAAGCAAAGCATTTAGTTTTGTATATGACTTAAAAAGCGTATTTATTGAGGTAGTACTAATATAAAATTTAGAAAGATTTAAAAGATTCATGTGTCAAAAACGCTTAAGGAGGCTCCCTACAATTTCCAATATATGTCAGTGTTTAAACTAAAAGCTATTTGAATCTAAAAGAAAACTAATTTTTTGCACAAGCCATTGTTTCCTCTTATATAAAAAAAGTAATTTCAACCCACAGCACTACTCTTCATGTTACCATGACAACATTACGTCACCATCTATATGGCCTATGTCAACCAAAAAAGCCGTCTTAGCGGATAAATGCCACAGAGGTCCATCCTCGGTCCATTATTGTTCCTTCTATATGAGAATCATCTCTCTAATTCCGTGACCAATTCAAGGATTGCTATATTCGCGGACGATACCAAGATCTTCAAGACCATCAATTCGATCTCTGATGCGTCTGCTCTACAGAATGATCTGTCAAACTTCCAAGAAAGCTCAAGCAGTATCAATCTCGAATTGAATAACACCAAATGCAAAGTCTTAAGAGTCACCCGAAAGCACAATAAAATTACTTATCCATACAAGCTTAACGATATCATATTAGAATGCACGGACTGTGAATGAGATCTTGGAGTTTTAACATCTTCTACTCTGATTTGGTCTAAACAAGTTGACCACCTGTGCAACAAGATGCTAGGATATGTCCGAAGATCAACCTTAAACATCAAAGATATCACGGTTCGTCGCAGACTATATTTATGTCTTGTTCGTTTCCAGCTCTGCTATGGATCTCAAATTTGGGTGCTACAATCAGTAACCTTAATCAAACGCGTGAAAAGACTTCAAAGAGGCGCAACAAAGTACATCCTGAATCTGTCCTTCCGTTGTGACACAACCTACAACCAGAGACTTGTACTTTTAGACCTCCTTCCATTGTGCTACTGGCACGGATTTCTAGATACGGTAACCTTCTACAAATTAATGCATGGTATCATGACCATTGACAATAATTTAATACAGTCGTCACCCAATAACAACAGAAAAGAAACCAGGTCGTCTAATCCCAATCATCTGTCAATTACAACGGCACAATGCAAGACCACTACCTACCAAAGGTCATTTCTCAACCGAACAAAGAGACTATGGAATGTACTACCAAAAAGTTTGACAAGCAATAACATTAGTTTAGGACAATTCAAAAACGGACTTTCTAAATATTACAAGTTAGCGCTGCATGGAAGAAGTTTTTGAGGTTGATGATCCAAGGACATGGAAATCTATGTCTTGTAACAAGTCTCGTAATCTGTCCTATCAAATATCGTGTTGTTATTAGATTTGTGTTGTTGTATAGTCAGGGGCCGCGGAACCGGGGGGGCAATGGGGGCATGTGCCCCCCCCCCCCCACTTTTCTTAAAAGTGAAAAAAGTGCCCTTTTTTCTGGGCTAAAATGCCCCATTTAAAAAACGAAAAAAAGTATTTCTTGAATAAACGCCCTCTTTTTCTGGAAAGAAAATGCCCTTTTCGCAGTAGTAAAGACTCTGTAAAGGCCATTTCCGACGTTAGAGAGACTCCATATTTTCAAAAATTTTCGTTCGGCTCGTAAACGTCATAAAATCGTTTGATTCTGGTCATATACAAAAGTGCCCCTTTCGGTCAATGCCCCTCCACTTTCGAAATGCTTCCGCGGCCTCTGTGTATAGTATTAGTATAGTTAATGGGGGCCGCTGTAATTGGTGAAAACTGTTGCGTGCACCCTGCCAATGGAACACATATTATATATTGTTGTAAATCAGTACTGTTAAATGTTGCATGTTACCTGGCAAAGTTAAATAAATTAAATTAAATCAAATAACCACGGTGACCTACCTTTTTTATTGCAGAAAATACATTGTTATAAAGTTTTGAATCTTTTTTGAAAGTTATTTGAAAATCGCCAGTGTAGTTTTCGAGATACTGAATTCCAGCCATTCCAAAGGCTAAAATACCATCTTAAAGGCTGAAATTCAGTCTCTTTTATATAAGAAGAAACAATTGGGTTGTGCAAAAAAATCAGTTTTTTAGATTCAAACTGAATTTAAACAGGGGCAAAACTAGCCATGGTAACTGGTCATGCAATGCTAATAAACCTGCATCAAAATTAGTTAAAGACTATTACATCACATTTGTGTCGGTTTTCTTTGATCGTCCGAGGTTTATAACTAGCTAATATACCTTGAATAAATAATTACATCAAACTTTTCGACAAAACGCGAGAATTTTTCATCAAAAATTTTTGAAAATGACAAAATATGTTAGAAAACCTCCACAAATGTGATATAAGTTAGTTATAAACCTCGAAAGTCGGTTTATAACTGATATATTGCCCTCGGACGCATATCAGTTATAAACCTCCTTCTCGGTTTATAACTCTAACTTACAGTTCGAAAGGTTTGAACAATGCAAGTCATTAAAAATTTACATAGCATCGGACCTGTTGCTGTTGGCTAGCTCGCCACTGAAATTAACCAAACACATTTTATCTCAAAGGATTTTGACTGCATGTGCTTTCAAACTACAGTTCATTCTTTTGATCAAGTGTTTTCAACATTATAGCAATGTAAATAAACTATACGACAAAATGTAGTTCCTGAATGAAGCAAAGCCAAGGTAAGACGAAATGAAATATATTCAAGTGAGTTTACAGCATGAGCATTGAAACACAGCGTCGATTCAAAGTCGGCTGTAAACATAAGAAATTTCTGAAGAGACCAGAAAAGAAATAGATAGTCAATAGATATTTAGAAGTTTCGCGAGAATTAGGCCCGTTTCGTACGCAGTCGCAGTACTTCTCATGTGGCGAATACATTACAAACAATAGGTAATGAGGCATTTCAGCTCATTATACCTATTGTCTTTAATGTATTCGACACATGTGTAGCACGGCGTATGAAACGGTCCTATAGATGCCATTATGTGGGCATTTCAATTTTTGATCAAGAAAGTAATTTACAGCTTGGACGTATTTTATATGCTTGCTTTAAACTCGTATTTGTTGATGCAGAACGACTATACACAGTGCTGTCTCAGTCAATAATATAAGAATTTTAAATAAAAGCGTTTCGTCATCAGTTCAAAACGTACGGTGGCCCACAGGTGCCACGGCACAAACAAAAACTCCACGGCACAAACAAAAACTCCACGGCACAAACAAAAACTTCACGGCACAAACAAAAACTCCACGGCTCAAACAAAAACTCCACGGCACAAACAAAAACTCCACGGCACAAACAAAAACTTCACGGCACAAACAAAAACTCCACTGCACAAACAAAAACTCCACCGCACAAACAAAAACTTCACGGCACAAACAAAAACTCCACGGCACAAACAAAAACTCCACGGCACAAACAAAAACTCCACGGCACAAGAGCAAAAAAACAATAAGAAAGACTGGGCACTATAATACTTAACTATAATACTTAATAAATTCAACATGGCTGATTTTGAGGAGTTAATAGGCGAAGAACAGTTTGACGAAGAAGACATTATACACTACCATTTTTTTCAGAGGTTTTAATTATGAAGTAATTCGTAGATTTTTACAAAAAAACCATGCGATCGAAATGAGCATTAGAACTCTAAAGAGGCGAATAAAGAGCTACGGACTTCGAAGGAGACAGGAAGAATACGAAATTGCTCACGTGAGAGAAGCTATTGAAAATATCGTTGATGGTCATGGTAGTCTTCAAGGGTACAGAGCAGTGTGGCATACTATACAGCTGAAGGGATTACGAGTGTCACGAATTGTTGTGCAGGAGATTCTGCGAGAAATTGACCCGGAAGGAACAGAACAAAGAAGAGCACATCGTCTGAAAAGAAGGGAATATCGAAACCCAGGTCCAAATTACGCGTGGCACTGTGATGGTTATGACAAGCTAAAGCCATACGGATTTCCAATCCACGGGTGTATAGATGGTTGGAGCAGAAAGATACTCTGGCTATACGTCACTCGATCAAATAATCGACCGGACAATATAGCCACCTACTACCTTAATGCTGTGGAAGAATTTGGTGGGTGCCCTGTGGATTTCGTTACGGATTTGGGAACAGAAAATGGAACAATGGCTGCAACTCAAGCTTTTTTCAGGGATGATCCTGACAGCAATAGATATGTTCCATCACCTAGAAATCAACCAATTGAGGCATGGTGGGGATTGTTTAGAAAGTCCTGTTCAACTTGGTGGATAAACCTCTTTAAAGATCTAATTGAACAAGGGGTGGTGGATCTCATCAGAATTAGACATGGGAATGTGTTTGGTTTTGCTTTTCCGACCTTATTCAACAGGTTTTAAATTATGTGAAAGAACAATGGAATACTCATTACATTCGGGGATCTCGTTATGAAACAATCAAAGGTCGACCAGACTCCTTGTATTATTTACCCGAGCTAAGTGGTGGTGGCACCCATTTTTTATTGTCCGTCCCTGAAGATGAAATTATTTATGCGCGATCGCACATTGTGGAAATCCAAGAAGAAAATATATACCAAAAATATTTCAACTATGTTGTACAATCTTGCAATCTTGACAAACCGAGTGATTGGAGGGAAGCACTGGAGCTTTATAATACTCTCCTGCAACATGCCAACTGAATTTGGTCTTTTTACTCCTTTGTCAGAGACATATTACAACATAAGCAACTACGCTAACTTTAACAAGTATATGTATATAAAAGGTTCATGTAAATAAACTACACTACTAGGTTTCAAATAGAATGTCTCTTATAGTCTTTTGGAAGAACTAACAATACTCTACTATATGTATACCAACTGTACGGTGCTACCTTTGTTCCAGCTGTTCTTCGCAAAATGAAAGTTCATGATAAACAGTTAAACGCATAAACTTTGGTCACTTTGCCGTTATGTTTACATATTGTATTAAAATTAGATCTATTCTCCAATTTAGGATTAATGTTCTTTTAGGTGATAAAAACATGTAAAGGTGTAAACATGCAAACAAATTGCGAACCTTTAGTCTACAATCTTTTGGAAATAAGGATGCATATCACATGGATACCTGTTAAGAGGGGTTAAGATTGCCACTATCTTCAAGTCGTATGTTGAGATCAACTGTAAGCTGTTTGAAGTTAGGACAATTTGTGCATTTAAATTGAAGAATAAATTGACTAAAAACCTGTCGGAACCTTGTAGAACTTACCTTCAAATGCGAATTGAAGTTTGCCTTTTGCGGTTACCGGTCTGCCGTAAACTTCAATCTTAACCTCTCTAATAATATCAGCCAAAAACCTGTATTCTCACTCGTTTTAGCAGCGTTCAAATAACCACCGCATTAGAAACACTAAGAATTAGAGAGTGACCAAGCACATATACGAGTAAATACGGTATTTTCATTGGAAAACAAAACAGCTACTGTAATTAACGGGTTGTCTTCTGCTTATTGAATGTCTCGGATAAGCTATAGTAGTAACAATATGAACCATCGTATATACTTGACATGCAGTAAACACATGCAAAAGTCCACTATCTTTGAATAAGATATTTTCAACATCACGTTCTCTTTTAATTATGTCCACTTTCATTTATCTATTCCCAAATGACTGACCCTTGCTGAAGGCAATCAGGAAAACTCGTTTGAAATCATCACTAGTTTTCATGTGTTCAACTGGCAAAGTAACATTTCTGCCACATGCTCCAACAACCAACAGTCATGATCAAAATCAACATGTATTTTTAAATTATCCTCATTGATCGGTACATGTTTTTGACCCGTTAGCCATCCCAGTACACCCGCTGGTGTAAGATCTGGTGACTGGTACGAACCAGTTTCCTTATCGTTTCCTTCGGTGTTTGCAATATCCAAAATAGCATTCCATGCTAGTGCTTCAGTGTAACCCGTCACCTGCTCGTCGTCTTCCAAACTTATTAACAGATCTTGGAAGTGGTCAACCATTTGTTCTTCCACGGCTCGTCGGGAGCTTCCATCTTCGGAATAATTTGGCATTAAGCATGACAATAAATAATTGGCATCTGGTGCTTTGCCTCCTTCCCCTCTAACAAACAGATGCTTGCACAAATCACTGTTGGCTTGTATCAAGGCTGGTAAACCATAAAGATCCAGTCCTCTTCTAAACTCGTTAAGGTAAATTAATATTTTACTTACAAGGCTGATCATCACAGTACCAATGATATCATCGACATGATCTTTGTCAATGTTTCCCGTATGTTCATGTTCCAAGATTACATCCTGCAAGGATGTTGGATCATTTTTTATCCCTTCGAGTAGCGCCTGTTCGTGACAAGTTAAATGCTTTTCGGGAATCAGAGCATCCATGTTAACATTATTGTCAACAAGCATGTCATAGACACAATCTTCAAGGAAACAGGGAGGGGATCCTCCTTGAGCAATACTTTTGCAACGATTTGTGCACATGCATGGAAAGTGCCATTGTGCACATAAAGTATTGAATTTGTGGGGCTACCATTCGGAAAAATATTTTTTCCAATTTCAATTACTACAGACATGAAGAATTCCTTTGCAATCACTCCATTATCGATTCCACTCTCGCCAGCAAAATGCACCATCACTCAATGCTTGGGACATTTCTTCCTAGCTTCGCATTGCCAGATGGTCAGTTGGCGTTGTAAAGTGCTTCCCCTCCTGATAACAAAAAAGAACTGTTCAGATTGATCAACTTCCTCGGCAAGTCTTTCACAATATCAACAATATTTTGGTAATTCCTATTTTCTTCAGGTGTTTCTTTTAAATCAGCATTTCTTTGGTCATCTTCAGATAAAACAGCAGTCGAACAAGTAGTTTCTTCAGCCAGTTGCACCAATACCTCGTTCTCTGTAGCAATTGACGCATCTTCGTTCTCGGAAGTGATATTAATGGTATCATTACATTCATTATTAAATTGAGATTGTAGTTCTCTGGCAATAATTTCATCTTGCTTGACTTGAGATTTAGACTTCTTTTCTACGGGTTCTAAAAACTCACCTTCGGTTTCGGATTCGTGGTCAAAGTCTTCATTTTTCTTAAGTTCATAATGACTGCAGAGACACAAAGTAATTCTTTTATAATCTTTCCCACTCTCCTTCTAGTATCTCTTAGCCTGCGAACAGGCTCTCAAGCTGAATTGAGAGCCTGCATCGATGACTAATGAATTTGAATATCAGCCCTGTAACGTTCGTTTTTCCAAATATGGAATGTCTATCCTTATATGGTGTTGTTTACAAATTTTGTGCAAACTAAATTTAGACCGTGCAAACTAAATTTAGACCGTACAGTTTATACTGTTTTTCGAAATATAAGATATTCAAGCAAAAGTTTAAATGCTTTAGATACTGTTTTCTCAAAACAGAACATTTCGTGCTTTGAGATAAGATTGCCAAGACCAATTTGATCAGTTAATGTATTTTTTATGCATAGTGCTTCAGCAGTTGACATATATAGAGCTCAGCGGAAACTTATAAATTATAGCATCTGACCAATGAGAATTTTGCGTCACAATTTGAGACACAGATATTCAAATTCATTAGTCATTGATGCAGG